CGTTGGCCTCCAAAGGAGAATGGATTGGGGGTCCCACATCGATTGGAGAGAGGAACCAGGCGGTGTGCCAGCCAAGATGTTGGGCCCCGAAGGGGATTGGATTGGGAGTCCCACATCGATTGGAGAGAGGAACGAGGAGACTAAACTCCAGAGGGGGTGGACACCAGGCGGTGTGCCATAAAAGACGTTGGGCCCTGAGGGGGAATGGATTGGGGGTCCCACATTGATTGGAGAGAGGAAGGAGTGCCAGCGAGGACGAGGGCTCCAAAGAGGGGTGGATTGTAAGATCCCACATCGGTTGGAGAGGGGAACGAAGCATTCTTTATAAGAGCGTGGAAACTTCTCCCTAGCAGACACGTTTTAAAAACCTTGAGGGGAATGTCCAAAGAGAACAAAACCTTGAGAGGAAAGCCCAAAGAGAATAATATCCACGGGCTTGGGCTGTTACAACCTTAGAGTCATGTTAGGAACCACGACTCTTCACAATTGTATGATATTGTCCACTTTGAGAATAAGCTCTCGTGGCTTTGCTTTTGATTTCCCCAAAACACCTCATACCAATAGAGATGTATTCCTTACTTATAAACTCATGATTATTCCCTTAATTAGCGAACGTGGGACTCCCTCCCAACCATCGAAGCAAAAACAAAAATTAGAGAAGGCTGAGTTCAAAGCTAGTGCGTAATACTCATGATCAGACACACTTATCAATCCACACAATCAGTTATAATAAGATAAGAAAAAGGAGTGTTATTGATATAGTCCTATGTATTCAATGTTCTTTATTTTTTCTCTTGCTTGAATGTAGAGGTTATATGTGTTCAAGGCTTACACTTGTGGCGCAACAGTGCTTCTGAGGTCAACGATGAGATGTATAAAGGATTTCATAAGGGAAATTCAGAGGGGAAAGTTAATGAAATCCTTGCAGGTTGATTTACTTGATACCTATTGCAGCATAGACATAGTAGCTTTCTTTTTCCTTTGGCTGTTATGTTATAACTCATGGTTTACTCTTTTCACAGGTTTTGATTTCTTAAACTCAAATGCAAATAGCTTTAATGTTAGCGTTTGGTATAATTCAAGTATCAGAAACGAATCTGGATATTTTCCTCCGACATTACTGCGTGTTCCACGCTCAGTGAATCTAGTAGGCTTGTTTATAATTCTCCTCTATTTCTATTTCTCCAGAGGAGAATGTCTGATAAACAACACTAACTCTAGTGATGGTTTTGCAGGCAACCAATGGCTACCTTAAAAATTTGGTCGGACCAGGAACAGAAATTCCTTTTGAGTTCGTGAAAGAAATGCCAAAGGCGGGATCCAAGCTCAGGCTCGATCTATCCTCTTTGCTTGGCACTCTTTTCTTTACTTGGGTCGTTCTGCAGCTTTTCCCTGTAAGATTATTTCCTTGTCCAAAACCGAGAGTTGAGTTTGAGATGCATGTCCTTAAGAGAATTGCTTTAGTTATGTTTCTTAATGTTACTGTTGATGTAGGTTGTATTGACATCATTGGTTTACGAGAAGCAACAGAAGCTGAGAATCATGATGAAAATGCATGGCCTTGGCGACGGGCCTTATTGGTTGATCTCTTATGCATATTTCCTTACAATATCTGCCATTTACATGCTATGTTTTGTGATATTTGGCTCAGTTATAGGTAACATCTCTGGCTCTTCTCTACTCTTTGGAGCTTTACTGCTGATTTTCTGTTTGCTTAATCCTTTGATATTCTTGCAGGTCTAAAATTTTTCACATTGAACGACTACAGCATCCAAGTTGTGTTTTATTTCCTCTATATAAACTTGCAAATTTCTTTGGCTTTCTTAACTGCAGCATGGTTCACAAATGTAAAGACTGCTGCAGGTATACACACCTTCATTCTCTGATGCTTAATACCCACTTGTCCCTTACTATTTACAACCACACTTTACTCACCTCTATTGTCATTTCTGCATTAAACATGATGCAGTCATAGCTTACATACTCGTATTCGGATCGGGGCTCTTAGGCGGCTTCCTTTTTCATTTTTTTCTTGAAGACCCATCATTTCCAAGTAAGCTGAAAACATTTCACACAAATGTTTAGTCTTATTTGTGATGGTTATCTAAGAACTTAACATGAACTCATTTTGTGTATGTAGATGCCTGGATTATAGTATTGGAGTTATACCCTGGCTTTGCTCTGTATCGTGGATTATACGAGTTTGCACAGTATTCCTTCATTGGAAACTTTATGGGGAGTGATGGAATGCGTTGGGGGAAGTTGAGCGACGAACTTAACGGGATGCAAGATGTGATGATTATCATGGTTGTAGAGTGGTTGTTGGTATTGTTGGTTGCATATTATGTAGATCAAATTTCATCCTCTGGTGGTGGGAAAAGTCCTCTATTTTTCTTGAGAAGGTTTCGGAAAAAAGCCGCTGCATCGTTTCGGTTGCCAAGTTTGCGAAAGCAAGGCTCTAAAGCCTTTGTTGATATGGAACAACCTGACGTCATTCAAGAGGTAGACACAGATATGGACATCTTTAGACTTTCTCTCAAAGTTTTTAAAACATGTTTACTCGAGATAGAGATAGGTTTCTACACCCTTATAAAGAATGTATCGTTACCCTCTCCAACTAGATACGAGTCAAAGACTTGCATGTTGATCCAGTTGTTGCAGCCTGCAATTGTTGGTTGGTAGCATTAACAGCACATCTGTTTTATTTCGTAGAGGGAGAAGGTTGAACAGTTAATACTAGAACCAGATACGAGTCATGCCATTGTGTGTGACAATCTCAAAAAGGTCTATCCAGGAAGAGATGGAAATCCTGAGAAGTTTGCTGTAAAAGGTTTGTCTCTTGCTGTTCCTCGAGGGGAGTGTTTCGGCATGCTCGGTCCAAATGGTGCAGGGAAAACCTCATTTATCAGTATGGTAAGATGAAAACTTCAAGTGAAACCTCATTTGTGTTAGAATTATCATGTCATCCCATTATACATTTTGCGTACTCATTAGCTTGGATTAATATAGATGATTGGCCTCACAAAGCCGAGTGCTGGCACGGCGTTTGTCCAAGGTCTGGATATATGGAACGATATGGATATGATATATACTAACATGGGTGTATGTCCACAGCATGAGTAAGCTCAATATCTGGTGCGGTCTGCATATTTTTGTCTCAAGACTAAAACCTCTAAAGTTCTTCATGTTTTTTTTATTCAATTATGTAGCCTGCTATGGGAACAACTCACAGGAAGAGAGCATCTACTCTTCTATGGTAGACTTAAGAATCTACGAGGCTCCGCACTAACTGAAGTAAGAACTACATCACTTATCTAAAAATGATCGACCGTAGAAAGTTCGGAGAGGATCTCAATAGTTTATCGATGATTGTTCTTTTCCGAAGTTTTGAATCCATATTTTCTAACTCAATCTTATTGGCACAGGCAGTGGAAGAGTCTTTGAAGGGTGTCAATCTGTATCATGGAGGAGTTGCAGATAAACAAGCTGGGAAGTACAGTGGGGGAATGAAGAGGAGGCTTAGTGTTGCTATTTCACTAATTGGAGACCCCAAAGTAAGCTCCTTTCATCTGATCTTCTTATAATCTTCTTAGCTCATTGTTAGTCCTAATACCAAATTCATTGCAACTCTATCAAGGTCGTTTACATGGACGAGCCAAGCACTGGGCTTGATCCAGCTTCAAGAAACAGTTTATGGAATGTCGTGAAGCGCGCAAAGCGAGATCGAGCCATAATTCTGACCAGTACCTCTCTTCTCCTTCTCAATGAACTCAATTTATCATCACAAAATGTTATCAGCCAAGCTCATTTTTCCTCTATTATCAGCACATTCCATGGAGGAGGCAGAAGTCCTCTGCGATCGATTAGGAATCTTTGTCGACGGTGGCTTGCAGTGCATAGGAAATCCTAAAGAGGTACTAGAATTATGCCCCAAAGCTTCAAAATCCTCAAACCAATCTGATTAGCTTTACATTTTCTGACATGACTGTTGACATGTACTTGGATTGTCTTTTACAGCTCAAAGGTAGATATGGAGGATCTTATATATTCACAATGACTGTATCTGCAAATCACGACGTCGATGTCGAGAATATGGTGAAGCATCTGTCTCCCAGTGCTAGTAAGATCTACCACATCTCTGGAACTCAGAAATATGAACTGCCCAAACACGAGGTCCGAATTGCTGACGTGTTTCAAGCTGTGGAAAATGCAAAGAGTAGGTTCACAGTCTTTGCTTGGGGTCTGGCTGACACAACATTAGAGGATGTGTTTATTAAGGTTGCACGAGGAGCACAGTCGTTCAATGTTCTTTCATGATGCTTCTTTCTCTTCATTCCACTGTCATGTTTGTCTTTTTATCTATATGTTTGAATGTCTTTACATGTATAGTTCACAACACATTATTATTTCTTCCAATTTATACTTATAGTTCAATGTCTTTACATGTATAGTTCACAACACATTATTATTTCTTCCAATTTATACGTATAGTTCAATCTCATATGATGATTACTCAATACTTCCATAGAGTCAAGTCGATTTGTCGGGAGATAAATGAACTAGATCTAAAGTCCGTCGTTGGAGAAACTTGAATGAAGAAGATCATCACCAATTGATTATGACTAGAATATAAAAGTTTTGTTATTATTATACAAGGATGACTCGTTCAATCATCACAGTTAGAAATTTTACTACTCAGCCAAGAAGACATGGCTAAGAAAATGGAGGCACCACATGAGGAGTGAAGAAGAAACACTTTACACAATTAAAAGTCGGAGCAACTCTAAGTCGCCTACCAAAGGTGGATGCAAAAATGCTAACAAAGAAAGAGGTCACCAAAGAATCGCACGACCTTAAAGTGCTAAAAAAAAAAAAACGAGCATCAGACTTCTCAAGAGGAGAGATTTGAAGACATTTTCTACCACGGTAGAAAGAAGGTCCACATGTTCAATAGGTACAAGAAAAAACAAAAGGAATGTGGCAAGAAAAAAATATGTATTAATAGAATACCGTGGATAGTACTTATATTTTATTCATACAATAAATTACCATGAAAATAGGCAAGGAAGTAGAACATTACAGCTCCAACGAATCAAGCTCAAAAAACTCTACACTAAATTTAAACATTATATACGATAATGATATAAAATTAAAAATATACAATGCAAATAGTAGAAGCATGAGAAAGGGCGGTAGATTTAGACTCAACGAGAATTATAAGCAGCTGCTTGTTCAGGGTCATAAACAATGCCATGGACTGGGCCTCTCTCTCCAAAACGACGTCTCTGTGAAGCTGATCTCAAAGAGAGGGATCTTAGGGAAGCTAACGGCTGTACGTTAGGGGGCACTGGCATTTCTTCGGAGTGACCGGATATGCAGAGGGAACCTGAATCATCTTGTTCCCAGTAAACTTCTACCATTATCCCGCTTGGGTTCTCTGCTGTCTCTGTCCCTGGAATTCCCACAAATCTTGATCCTACTGGTATCTATAATGTCAAAGTTTTTTGAATGCCGTCAGGGAAAAATGAGGCAGCTTTCATATAATCATCCCATTGGAAAAGACAGTTGAAAATAATGTTCCTAAAAAGCTTAATGATGGGTATTATACCTCAACAGTGTGGCCAGATGTTGTTAGAGTCAGAGACACCATAGTTCCATCAGCTGCAGCACTTTCCAACTCTGCTTGTTTTGCAATGTTCAAGAATACTTCTTCAAGGGTGGTAAGACTGAGTTGGATATCAGATATTCCAAGCTCTCCCTTTCTCTCTTCAAGTTCATCAAAGAACCTCTGCTCCAGCATCGTAGATTGTTAAGGAATGTGATTTAAACAGGGTAACAAGCTTAATACATCAAATCCGCACAACAAGTTAAAAGATTACCGTCAGAAGCTTTTCTCTGTCATGAGGAATGATGTAAGTTAGAAAAGATTTGTGCTCTTCCTTGGGTAGAATGTCCAAGCGCTATCATCATGGCAGGATTTTAGTTAGGAACTAAACGTGTATACGTGATATAAGGAAATTTAAGGTCAGTTTAGTTTTCTGAACATACCGATTTGAAGAAGTGCTTAATTTCTTCATGGCCAGTTGGGGTAGTCAATACCCCATTACCATTAGGAGTCTGTCCGCCGTTGCCATTGGCAAAACTAACATTCGCGACAAAGCCAGCACCAAATCTCGACTTCAACCTGATTGAGGTTCCAATGCAACGGAGCCTTCCCTTTGCCATGATTCCAATGCGGTCACTTAAGATGTCAGCCTCTTCCATAGAATGTGTTGTCAAAAGAATGGCACGTCCTCTCTTTGCACCCTCAATGATATCCCATACGTGCCTCCTTGTTATTGGATCCATTCCAGTTGTCTGCATTAAAGTTAAAGATTTTGAGTTCCTGTAAACATCTCACTTATCTTTATGGGTTGCAATTAAATTGTGCATACCGGTTCATCTAAGATGACTAACTTCGGATCACCAATAAGAGCTATGGCAACACTTAATCGACGTTTCATTCCCCCACTGTAACTACCAGCTCTTGTCTTTGCAGACTGAGTGAGTCTTACTTCTTCCAACGACTTCTCAGCAATCTATTTCATTAAATGCACATCGTTAGGTGAGAATACTAAAGCACAAAAGATGGAGGTGTTTAGGAAATTACATACCGATTTTATAGAAGATGGTGGAAGGCCTTTTATTGTAGCAAAAAGATGGAGGTGTTCTTGCCCAGACAAGACATCCCACAGTATATCAAACTGCGACATACACAGAAATCAAACAAACATGAATTTGTTCAGAGACCGGACTTGTAGGAAAGCATCAAGAAGTTCTGTAAGATGTACCTGTGGACAAACACCAATAATTCTCCGAATGTTTGCCATGCCAACAGAGTCACGAACAGAATATCCATATATTGATGCTGTTAAGTAAATATATGGCTCAATAAATAGTTCCCTTCAATCCAGTGGTATTATGTCCAATAAATAGAATTTGAGATCACATTACCATCTCCACCAGTCACCGGTGTAATCCCAGTCAAACAATTGATTGCTGTGGTTTTCCCAGCACCATTTGGTCCAAGAAGACAAAATAGTTGATCCTTAGCAAAGTTCACCCATAAGCCCTGAATTTTATTTCAGTATTATATTATTGCGCCATTCCAACGGGCCATTTATAGGTTTCATATTAATTTGCTGATGCATATGAGAGATAGAAATTTATATTTGTTACTATAACCACGTTGTACAAGTCATTTGGCAGCCAAAACTTCAAACCAGAAGAAAAAGAATATCAATGCATCTGGCAACAAATTATAAGATGCTTTTGTATGTCCAGAAAGTTATGCTTCCTGTTTAGTCTGCCAACCTCAACCAAAAAGTGGAAAGAGTTATTTACCCTGACAGCATGGTAAGGAGGAGTTTTCTTGCATTTACAGCAGCAAAATGAGTTGCCCTTCCAAGCTCCAGGATATGTCTTTGCAAGGCCACGTATTTGAACCGCAACATTTGAATCCACTATTCCTTCTGAAAGTTGTCGTTTCACTGTGTTTTCCTCTTCAAGGACATCTTCATCATCTGGAGTTATCGGTTCCAATGTTGGAAGTGAACCAAAGCAACTGCAGATGCCACCCTCTACCCAAAAGGAAACAGATTTCCTAGTTAGGATCAGTTTGAACTCCAGGAGAAAGACATGAGTAGAAAACATGTAGTTTCCAAATTTGAATACCTTCAACTTTACTTCCTCCTTTCCCTGTCCAATATCCTGGCCTCAAAAAGTAAAAGACTGACTTTCTCACACCAGCGGCATTTGGGATGATGTTGTCGAGGTAGATGGCCAAGAAAACCCATAAGAAGAATGTTCCCACAAGCCATAAATAAATATCATTCTGTCAGAATCAGAAATTCAAAAAAGATGGTCAAAGTCAAGGTCTTGTTATGTCTAGCAAATGGACAATAGTCAATTGATTAAGCATTAAATTGATAACATACTATAGTTATGACACACTCGGTATCATTTGGGGCACACTCTGTGCGTCTACTCCAGCTGATTCCTGAATCTCCGGGGGTGGAAGTGGCATCAGAGAGCAGAGAAAGAGCTTTTGCAAGAAGGTTAGGCGGGAACAAGGACCAGATGACTTGAAAAAATTTTGAGAAGTCGTTTGAATAAGGAAATCCAAATGCTGTGACAAGCTGTATGGAAAAGTATGATCCATCATTGTGAATTACTGAAGTTATTTAGTATTTACATAGAGCTTACGCAAACGCATCATTACCTGAGTGAGAAATCCAACAATAAAGATGGAGAAGCCAACAGTAGTGGATGAAGACGACTTGCTTATAAAGGCCGATAGCATAAAAGCAAATCCAACCTAACATAAAAATTAATGGAAGAGGGTTTGAATGATTAATTTTGGTGGTTGGTAGTGTTGGGAGAAGAGGTAAGATTAGAAAAAGATGAATGAATTGAAGGACAAAGGACTGTTGCAGAAACTTCCATACCATATTGAGTTGGAAGAGGAAAAAGACGAGAAACACGATCGCAAAGTTGTTTTTAGAGAAAAAATCAAACTGAAACATCATTCCAAACAGAACAGTTAAAAGAGATGCAATGAGCGTGGTAATTCCTTCCCATGTAAGCCACGACAGCCAATATGCAGTATCATACAGACCCATCATTGTCATTGCCTGCATAGAAGTTGAGAAGGGAAGGTTTTGTTAGAGACAAGGAGACAACTAAGAATATGGTAAATGATATTAAATATTCCAAAACATAGACCTGGCGAAGTTTGAGCTCTTTTTCTGTGATCAAGGAACTAATTTGAAGTACAAAGCCAAACATAGCAATGGCTAGGAAAAATGTTGGTCCAACAGTATTCACTGCAGAGAAATTGTCCACTGGAGGGTGTGCAAATTCCATGAAGTTGATAACCCAGCTAAAGTTGGGAACTGAATAGCAACAAACATTCCACAAATGTTGGTCAGATTACTGTTCTTAAGAAGTAAAAACTTCAAAAATTTGTTAAATCAAGCATTGATTTGCGATTATTACCCCCAATCAAAGATCGAGCAATTTCACGCTCTGCAGCTATCTGGAGTGGAATTTGAAATTTAAACGTGGGGTCTTCGTAGTGTCCTCTCCTTGCCACAGCGGTAGAATTAGTTTGTATACCATAACTAATCACAGTTCCATTTCTTTCAGTGAAATGCAAGGCACCAGGGCAAGTCATAGGGTTGTTTAAAAGCCATCGATCTACTTCAGCAGGTGTACCAAATGATCGTACCTGTCATTTGGCCATGTATAAAAAATCACAGAATGCACTTTACTAGTTTACTTTGTGAGGATTCCCATTTGATGAGGAAAAAAAAAGTACAGAACATCTGAATATTTGATAAAAAGAAACAATAATCTAAATTCATTCGGACAATTTCACCATCTTTTGCTGCTGGTAGTATAACGATTTTCAGATGCATTCTCGTTACTAGAAAAATCCTTATGACATTGAGTTTGGAAGTTCCTTTATTGTTGATTCTCTACTACATCAAATAAATATATAGTTTTGAAAATAAGATTAAAGCTCCTCTCTAATTCATAATTCTAACAAAACACCTGACAATTTGTTAAGAGAATTCTAGTCCAGAGAAGGAAGCAGGGCATCATGAGAAAAACAGTAAATCTTCTTAGCTTTTATAAGGTTTATAATCAGGGTATTATGTTTGTCTACGAAAACCCCAGTTTTTGAATAGTCCCTTTGCGTCCAAACTACGCAACGTCGTCATTCGTCAAAACGAAGATCCCCAAAGGAAACTGACGACTAAAAATCAAATTGAGCATTGATAAGAGTAGGCTGAGTGAAGAGTGATTATAAGAACTCAGAATTTCGAAGAACACACCTTATCCGGAGGAATCGGTCGGCCGGGATTATTGGCCATAATAGCGCCGACAATGCTGCGAACCTTGGCGCTGGAGCTGCCGCTAAACACGAAATCATAACAAGGAAGCTTTATGTAGTACTTATCCTCGCAAGGCGGAATCGGAGGGTTAGCCAGAAGTTCCGGATTGCGAACATCGTTCAAGGCAGTTGAAGAGCTAAAGCGAGCCTCAATAGCTTTCTGAATACAAAAAATGAGGAATATGAAAAAGAGAGAGGAAAATAGCTGGAGAAAAGTAGCCCTCTTGCTCCGCCATGAAAGCAAGAGATTCTTCTTGAACAGCGCCTGGTATTGCTGAAGAAGAAGCGGAAATCCGCTTCTTAATTCCATGTGTATTGCAAATTTTGGTGTCGCTCCTTCGTTCTAACTCGCTCTGGTTCGTTGAATAAGTATCGAATCAAGGAAGTCGCTGAAATTCAGTTATAAATTGGCTCGTTTTCTAGTTGTACAGGCCGTGGATTATATATAGGGGTTGACGAAGGAGATGAATGGGCTTCGAAATTGGTGTTGAGATTCGCGGGATTTACCATATCTGCCATTATTGGGTTTTTTTTTCTTTTTCTTGCTCGTATTCACACGAAACGGCGACGTGTGGATTTTTCAAATTCTGACCTGAGAAAGAAGAATTTCCTCGATAAAATAAACAACAGAATTCTGATGAAGCTTCCGTTATTACTCGATTCCATTTTTGCCCTTTCACGGTCTCCAATTAAAGTATATAAAAAGAAAATTACTAAAATAATATTTTCTTTAGCGACAAAAAAAAAAAAAAAAAAGTTTAGTTCTACTCCGACCAATATCTAGCTCCATTTGGTGATTGGTTTTGATACCATTTGTAACATCTACTCTTAGTAGATATTGTCTATTTTGGCCGGTTACATATCGTCGTCAACCATTGAATTTTAAAATGCATTTGTTAGGGAAAAATATCTACACCCTTATAAAAGAAATGCATTGTTTTTCTCTTCAATTAATGTGGGATTTCACGTACGGTTGAGTTTTAATTTCTAATGATAAATTTCGATTTAATATATTTTTTTATGTTATAAATCTTAAGATATAAGAGCTTTTTATAAGATATAAAATAAGAAAAAAAATCATGTAAAAGAAAGGGTGTGGATGGGAAATCGGGAAGGGTAATTAAGTAATTTGACTGATAATATGTCACATGTGGGGACACGTTTGGGATACCCTTTGCCCTTAATGTCAACGGCACTTGAGTCGGGAAACGGTAACTTGAGGAACAAAAAATCTTTTATTTATTTATTTTTTAATTTCTTGATAAATACCTACCAACCGTAATTGAATTAACATAATTATGTTTACGTAGCGACTCAAAGTCACTGCTAACTGATATTGTCATTTTAAGTCTTCTCCTCGAAATTTTAAATATTTTTATTTCATTCTCTCTAGATGTCAAATTTCTACTACAATAATTTTATATAATAGTATTTTTCCATACCCATAAGAGTTCATACCGATTAAAGGTTCTAAAAGAATAATTTTTTTCTTTTCCAGTACGAGTCACGATGATATTAACTGTTCATATAATTAAATATAATAAAAGAATGGTATCTCAAAATATAAAAAATAAATAGGGGTATTGTATTTGACTAGATCCACCATTTATATTACTAAAATTGCTTTCATTTAGTAAACGGTCTGATTATTGACATAATAAACTAATAATCCACCTCTAATTCTTATGAACTAAGCTCCTTAATTTTATTTCAAACAAATATTATTTTATTTTATTTTTCAATTACATCAATTATTTCGGTCATCGGAATGGGTCCGAGCTCCTAATACTACCGTCTCATACCGCTGTTTTATTTTATTTGCGGCAATTTTTTTATATTAATTTTTAAATAAATATCACGTTTTTCCATTTTTTTATTCTAAATATTGAAATTAACTTTTTTTTTTTAATATCAAATCTTATTTCATCATATTATTCCAAAATAAAATTTAACTAATTTTATCTTTTAAAAAAATATAATATTGGCCTTTGTTTTAATTCAAACATTAAGCGGTAACCTAGTAAGTTTCGCTATAATCTGATTGATTATTCCGAGATAAAACAAAATCTTCTTCGATTACAATTAAATATTTATATATATGACTAATCAATCGAATTAAATATTTATATATATGACTAACCAATCGAATTAAATATTTATAGATACGACTAATCAAGTTTGAATACTCTATATATATTTGTATATACTACGTTTGACCCAAAATTAATTTAATTATTAATCTACTATGACATACATTTATTCTCGAAGGAGGAAGGATTAAGGTATTTCAAAGACGCGTCAGGGATATTTTCGTAATCTTGCTAAGGGTAGTTTCGGTAGAGTGAGACAAAGCTTGGCCGCCGGGTTAATACCATTTTCGAAATTTATGCCAAGAGTAGGGGTGATGTTGTAATTCTACATGTAGCTTTGACCACAAATGGCGTATAAATTCATTTCTGCTACCGAAACAGAGGAGCTAGCAGACATAGGACTAACAATTTTAAGAAGCTCAAACGAAAAGAACAAGTTCTTAGTTTTGTTCGTTTGGGAAGTTGTAACTTTGGTTGATTGTTGGAAAGACAAGGAAGGGCCTTGAGGATTCTGGTTGCTGAAGCTCTTTGCTTCTTTGGGGTAAAAAATGGCGGATCATTCTGTTGGTCCCGCCAGTTTCTGGACTCAAGCCAATGCTCTGCTCAGGAAGAACTTGACTTATCAGGTCTTTCTAATATCTATTTCTCTCATTTATGCTTTCGATTTCGTTGTCAAATCCATACAACTTGGATTCTATGATGTGGGTTTTCGTTTTGTTGATCTTTATTTGTTGATTTCTATGGCATTAACAAGCTTCCGTTTTTATAAGATGGGTCTTAGTAAAGTAACTCTTATGTTTTGTGCTGATTTGTGGTTGTTTGTGTGCATATATCTGATTGTGAGTTTCCCTTTTTTCCCTCCTCAGAAACGTAATATGATGACGAATGTTCGGCTGATTTTGTTCCCGTTTATCCTGTGTTTGTTACTTGTACTCATTCAATCATTAATCGACAATGAATTGGACAAGCCCAAATACAGATGTGGTTGTGTATGCATTGATACTAATGCAGATGGTACCTGTGAAGAAGTCTGTGGAGTTCAATATTCGACTTTGGAACAAGCTGCCAGTTGCTCAATTGAAAGCCCACCCGAATGGCCTCCTTTGTTGCAAATGCCACCTCCCGAGTTTCGTGCTGTTAGAACCAGTTTTAATCCATTTATGGACTTACCGGACGAGTCGTGCAGGCGAACGGGGACGTGTCCTGCAACTGTACTTTTCACTGGAACTAATCGATCTCTTGGAGAAAGTATGCTAATGAATAATCTGTCTTTGCATATGCAGTTGAATTCATTGATGTCTTTCTAGTTCTTCATGGATATTTATGATCTGTCTCTTTGTTTGGCTAGTTCTGGTTGGAAGCATGTTCACAAATTCATTCAATCTCAATTCAAACAATGTTTCAGATAGTTTAGCTTTTAATGTGGTGGTGAGTATCATTTTGATCTTAGTTTGTGTATTCAGTATCTTCTATGTTGAACTGCTCAACCTTTTAGTTTTTTAAAATGGCCAGGGCTCTAGCACGATGACAGAAAATAACAATTTTCTGGAGCCAGCTTTTGCTTCAAACCTTCCTTTGTATAATGTGCAACTGCAGTGCACGGGAAACACTTCTCGGACTGTTTCTGTTCCTGTTTTGTCGGTCGAAAAGCCACAAGGTTAGCACTTTTTCTCATTATTTTAGATATATTTCTATGAGATCCTACATCGATTGGAGAGGGCAACAAAGCATTCCTTATAAGAGGTATAGAAATCTCTCCCTAGCAGACATATTTTAAAACTGTGAGATTGACGATGGTACGTAATGGGCCAAAGCAGACAATATCTGCTAGCGGTGAGTTTGGGGTGTTACAAATGGTATCAGAGCCCGACACCGGGCGGTGTGCCAACGAGAACATTGAGTCCCCAAGGGGGGTGGATTGTGAGATCCCACATCGGTTGGAGAGGGGAACAAAGCATTCCTTATAAGGGTGTGGAAACCTCTCCCTAGTAGACACGTCTTAAAACCATGAGGTTAATGGCGATATGTAACGAGCCAAAACGGACAATATCTGCTCGCGGTGGACTTGGGCCGTTACAATTTCTCAATTTTCCTCTAATGGGATGGTTAAATTGTAATGCGAAAACAGAAATTAAACAAGGCTGAGTTCAAAGCTAGTGCATAATAAACACTCATCAATCCACACAATCATTTATTATAAAAGAAGAAAAAGTAGTGTTTTTGGTATAGTCCTATGTATTCAATGTTCCTTGTTTTTTCTTGCTTGAATGTAGAGGTTATATGTGCTCAAGGCTTACATTTGTGGCGCAACAGTGCATCTGTGGTCAATGATGAAATGTATAAAGGATTTCATAAAGGCAATTCAGAGGGGAAAGTTAATGAAATCCTTGCAGGTTGGTTAGCTTGTTGCCTATTGCAACGTTGACATAGTAGCTTTCTTTTTCTTTGGCTGTTATGTTAGAACTCATGGTTTTATTCTTTTCACAGGTTTTGATTTCTTAAACTCAAATGCAAATAGCTTTAATGTTAGCGTTTGGTATAATTCAAGTTTTAAAAATGACTCTGGGAATTTTCCTCCGGCATTACTGCGTGTTCCACGCTCGGTGAATCTGGTAGGCTTGTTTATAATTCTCCTCTGTTTCTATTTCTCTAGAGGAGAATGTCTGATAAACAACACTAACTCTAGTGATGGTTTTGCAGGCAACCAATGCCTACCTTAAAATTTTGGTAGGACCAGGTACAGAAATTCCTTTCGAGTTTGTCAAAGAAATGCCAAAGGCGGGATCCAAGCTCAGGCTCGATCTATCCTCTTTGCTTGGCACTCTTTTCTTTACCTGGGTCGTTCTGCAGCTTTTCCCTGTAAGATTATTTCCTTATCCGAAACCGAGAATTGAGTTTGAGATGTTTGTGCTTAAGAGAATTGATTAAGTTATGTTTCTTGATGTTACTGTTGATGTAGGTTGTATTGACATCATTGGTTTACGAGAAACAACAGAAGCTGAGAATCATGATGAAAATGCATGGCCTAGGCGACGGGCCTTATTGGTTGATCTCTTATGCATATTTCCTTACAATATCTGCCATTTACATGCTATGCTTTGTGATATTTGGCTCAGTTATAGGTACATCTTTGGCTCTTCTCTACTCTTTAGAGTTTTACTGCTAGTTTGCTGTTTGCTTAATCCTTTGATATTCTTGCAGGGCTAAAATTTTTCACCTTGAACGACTACAGCATCCAAGTTGTGTTTTATTTCCTCTATATAAACTTGCAAATTTCTTTGGCTTTCTTAACTGCAGCATGGTTCACAAATGTAAAGACTGCTGCAGGTAT